CTGGCCGCTTCACTTTCTCTCACTTCGAACACGAGACTGGGAACCTGAAGTTTCTAGGGTTTTCGTCTTTTTCTTGGCGGTGGTGGTGTTTTCGGTGTTGGGTTTTTTTTTTTTGTTTTTCCGGGTTTGAGGCTTCGATTTCATGTGTACACCCCCACCGTAAGAGGCGGGGGAATCCCACCGTCAAATGTCTCGATTTCAATCCTCCACCGTTGATTCCTCTGCTGCTCACCAGCGTCAGGTTGCGGCCGCAGTAGCCGCAGCAGAGCACCGTCTTCCTTCTAAGCGGAAGTTGGACGATTACGCTTCTTTTTTCGATGACGAAGAAGAATATGACGGCGAAAACCCTTACCTCTCCGATTTAATCTCCGTGAAGATGCGTAAGGACGAGCCTAACGCCGTCAATTCTTCGTCCGACGGTTCATCTCCGCTTGTCGATTCTCGTGCCAGCTATGTTCTCCGACCTTCGTCATCATCATCTTCGGCGGCTTCGTCGTCGTCCTCTGCGCAGTTTGTGTCTCGTGCCTCGGCACGGCCTGAGTTGAGTCGACTTCAATTTTTCATCAGGATGATGTCGGAGGGGAACACGACGGTGGTCCACGCGAATCCCGGGGATTCTGTCAAGTCTTTGCATGAGAGAATTCAAGTGATGACTGGGATCCCGGTGATCGAGCAGCGATTAATTTACAGGGGAAAGCAGCTCCAATGGGAGCAGACGCTGGCCGAGTGCGCAATTCAAAACGACGCCGGGTTACAGCTCGTGGGCAGGATGAGGAGCACGGAGCATCCGCAGGCTTGGCAAGTAATTGACGACATGGTTTCTGTCGTCTGGCGCCTCTGCAGGGGCGAAATGGTACCGTCGAGCGCCAAGCATATCAAGAATCGCATGACGGAATTTCTTCAGATGACGCCGAAGGACGATACCGAGTCAGCTATTGGGCATTTGCAGATTTTCATGACCTCCTCGGCCCCGGCGGCTCTAGTTATGCTGTACGTTTCTCCTCATGAAGGTAACAAATATTGTGCTGATATTTCCATTAAACATTTCTTGAATACTGGTAGAAATGTACTGTCCAAACCTTTACACAATCAGTGTGCGCCAATAATCTTAGAATTCTGTAAGTTGCTTAGGAGGGTAGCTCACGAGGAGCCCTTGTACCAATTGTGCCGTAGTACATTGGGCTCTTTGCTGGAAAATGTTGGCATTTCTAGTGGACTCAAGTACGGGGAGGAGGTTAAAGGGTCGATCATTATAAAAGAGATTTTCCCTTTTGTTAGGGAGCTAGGTCATAGATTGGTTAGCGACTTGAATTCCAGTATGGAGTCAGCCATCAGCCTAGGACCTTCCTTGAGTGATGTTCGTGATTTCACAGCCTTCTTGCTTCCTCTGCGATGTGCCATTTTGGGGCAGGCTGGGTTCGAGGGTCCCATTTCTTTGCCATTGAGAAAGAGGGGTTATGACAGTCCTGTGTTTGGAGAGGAAATTGAGTGCCTCCATGTTATATTTATGGACTTGTTGATAAAAATGGATGAGTGCCTAATTAAGATGGTGGAATCTTTGGCTCCCAGAGGAACTCTGGAAAACGAATACATCCATTCTGGATGGTCTCAATACCTTGCCATCCTGAAGGAATTGAATGGAATTTCTAAACTTTATAAGGGTGCTGAAGAAAAATTCTGGGATGTCTTGCGTAGTAGGAAGCCTTCGCTCTGTGCCCTAATTATTAAATATGCAAAGAGGATTGATGATCATACGTGGATTCTTGAGCACAAGGATGTCACAGATTTTGAGGCTAGGAGACACTTAACCATGATGATGTTTCCGGAGGTGAAAGAAGATTACGAGGAACTGCATGAGATGCTCATTGACAGGGCCCAGTTGTTGGCAGAGTCATTTGAGTATATAGCCCGTGCAGAACCTGATTCCTTGCATGGTGGCCTCTTCATGGAATTCAAGAATGAGGAAGCTACAGGTCCCGGGGTTTTGCGGGAGTGGTTTTTCTTGGTATGCCAAGCCATATTCAATCCAGAAAATGCTCTTTTTGTTGCATGTCCAGATGATCGGAGAAGGTTCTATCCTAATCCTGGTATGCTTCCTCTAGCTAGATGCACCACTTTCCTCTAAAATTGGCTTCGCTGTTTTTTCTTTTTGTTTGTTAAAAAAAGTTCTTCATTGATCAATTTGTTGCTTTCTGGAATATGATGCATTTCTTTTCTGGAATAGGATCGAATATAGTTATAAGATCTGGGCTTCGTAACTAATTTAGAATTTTGAAATATGATAGTTGGCAGCATGGTTGTTTTCAGCATCTCTACAGAATACTTTGGATTGGATACTAATGCTAATTTTGGTAATTTTTTCCGTGGTTTGAATCCTTTCCTTATCAATAAAGATCATTTATACTTGTATAAATAAATCGAAATATCTTATGGTTAAAACTATTGGTTTCTAGTTTCCTTACAGCCTTGAGCATAAACACACTGTAACTTTTTATTTTACCGTGTTTAGACCCTTGGCTACAGTATCATTTTACTGCGTGAATTCAAAATCCATCTTGTGTATCTTGTATTAAGTTTACTCATTGGATGTAGTTTGCTAGAGATTGATAAGAAAAGTTTAAGGGGCTTATTATGGTCATGCGAAGGATTCCATGAGAATTGCTTTTGTAGTTGTTTTTGAACTGTTTATTTGAACAAAAAGTTATTGCTACATTAGTTAAGTGCTTTGTTTTGCATGTGTTACTGTTTCAATGTATTTGGCTGAATTCATATTTCACTCTCCCTTAATTTTCACCCTTAATCTATATTACTATTAACATATAGAACTAAATTATGTTTTATATTTGATCTCACTTCTCTGCCTACTTGGGGCAGGAACCCAATTTCCACTTTAATTCATAATTATTTAATTCTCATCCCCAAGGATTCAAGGCGAGTGTGCTATGAACGTGCCTATATTGTGCTGTTTGATAAAGTCTACTTGAGGAGGAAGAAGGATTAAAGGAAGTTTATAGGGTAGGTAGTTTGTAGTGTGAATTTGTCTTGAGTAACTGCCATATTGGTTTGGGCAGTTCCTGATGGTTACTATCCTAGTCTTATGAGCCCTGGTATTGTGCCATTTGACAAAGTCTACAAGAGGAGGAAGAAGAAGAACTAAAGGCTGGACTACTAACAGCTAAGCGTTTAATATTTTGTACATCTATTTTTTAAAAAACAATTTATGTTATTATGTCTATGTATCGTTTTAGTGTCAGTTAGAGCAGGAAATCTAGTTAGGTAGTTTTTAACGTTTGAATTTGTCTTAGTTGTTGTCTTGATGTATGGGTAGTTCCTGATTTCTTTCGAGATAAAAAAGATTATATTCAAAGTACCAAGGGCTGCTGCCCCTGTGCTAAAGGATAGTTTACAAATTAATCAAAATGTCAACAAAGTCTTCTAAATC